TAGTTTTAAATTATAATATAGCCACAAAAAATAGTTTTAAATTTTTTTCTTTACACTAAGGAATGAAAGAAAAAGATAAAATAAGAATAAGAAACTCAAATAATTATAATAAAAGAAGTCAAAAATATAATTTATGTATGAAAAAGATTAAAATATACCTTGAACTTTGCTAGAAGAATCATATATACCCCTAAATAAGTTATAAGAAAATTAAAAGTTAAAAATATAAATTTAAAACTAACTTTTTCACTTCCGTTAAATGAAGGGTATATGTGAGCTCATTTTGTAATGGTAGGGGTATATGTGAGCCGTTTGTATAACAGTAAGGGCATATATGAGTCACTTTCATAACGAGGGGCATATTAGCTCCAAATGACAAAGTTGAGGGGGATATCAGACCCTTTTCACTATATACTATATTGTATTCATTTTTTTTTGAATAACAACAATGTATTCATTTTTCAAATTGTCGTGTTCATATGTTAATTGTCATACTTTACCTTGTTTGATATATTAATACATTAAGTTTTTATAAATACTTGTATCCTTGATATATTAATACTTTAAGTCTTATAAATAGAGATACCAATTTGAATTCAAAGTATTCATATGCTACACAATTAATACATGTTCCTTATTTAGTTTATTGTAATTAAAACTGTACTAGTATATAAATAGAAAAATAAAAACATATAAAGAAATACAGCTAGAAAAAGATATAAATTATAGTCATTTTTTATTAATAACATACTTATAGCTATTGAACTTCAATAACCCTATAAATATAGTCATTTTTGTAAGTTGCTCAATGACTATAATTGTAGGGTTATTGAAGTTCAATAACTATAAGTATGCTATTTATAAAAAATAACTACATTTTATGTCTTAATCTTGCTATATATTTGTATTTATTTTTTATTTTTTTATTTATACAATGATACAATTATAATTACAATGCACTAAATAAGGTAATCTCTTGTTATAGTGACTGAATGCCCCCTAATTACGTTTCTAAAACTCTCAACTTTCCATAATTAAATTTAAAACTAATGATTACGTCCCTATCCGCTTGGATTCCAACTAATACTTAATTAATAACTAATATTAAATTAACAACTAATTTTACCTTATGAATACACCTATATCATATAGGAGTGCCCATGTTATTAAACAAAATTTAGATACAGTGGACAATCCAGAATTAAGAAAATGGAAAATAATACAATGTGGGTATCCAAGTATATAAGTATTTGACTGTATAAAAAATTGAAACGCCAACAAAACTCAATCTTTTTTTCTCATGTTTACTATTTTTTTACAAATATGTTTATATATATAACTCAAGTATTTGTTTATACAAAAATAATGTAATTATGTATCAAAATATACTTGTATTACCTGGTCAACCTTTCAACTTGTGTTAATATTTCAATACATTGGGACAATCCAAAAAAAATGACAAGTGGATATAATACAATACAAGTATCCAAATATATAAGTATTTCACTATATAAAAAAATGAAAATCAGACAATCCTCAAACTCTTTTTGCTCACGTTCTTCATGTTATACATATGAATACAACTAATGAACTCATCAACCTTTCAACAAGATGTATACAAATACAAATTTCATATAAAACGAGAAAAAAATGCAAATAGAAGATATTTGATGAAGATATGTCACAAAAATTGCTCATGAAAATCAAGTAAAGAATTGTGAATTGGAAGAAAATTGGAGAAAAAATTGGTGATATTGAAAGAGAAAATAGCAAAGAGGGTAAATATGGGTAGTAAAGCACCGTAAAGCATGTTTGACTGGTATTAATTAGGCATGTAGAATTATCTTTGCTATTTAATGAATATTTATATCCATATATAATCTTTTTTTAAAAAAAAAAAACAGATTATGAGTGTAATATTAACTTTGTTATTTAACATTTAATTATAGGCAAAATTACTAAAGTACACTACATAGGTTTACCTATTATCAATTAATCCCTTCTCTTTCATAAAAATTCAAAAATCCCTACTTTTCCCCAATTCCTCTCTTCCGGATACTTTATTATGAAAGAAATCAAACCCATCTTCCTCACCCCCAAAATCTCGCCTATAATCTCTCCCACTACCAAATCAGTTACCGCTTTCAAAGTAATTTAATTTTCAAATGATTCAACAGTCTCAAAGTTCAAAATAGGTATTCTTCTTCTTCTTCATTTTTCTTTCAAAATCAATTTTTTGTTTCAATCGATTTTGGATTATTTAGTTTCTACCCAGAAACACCGATATTTTATCAATTGTTGGTATTAAGGTTTCATTGTTGAAAAATAAAGTATCTTGGTATATAATGAAATGTTTAGTTTCTACCCAGAAACACCGATATTTTATCAATTGTTGGTATTAAGGTTTCATTGTTGAAAAATAAAGTATCTTGGTATATAATGAAATGTTTAGTTTCTACCCAGAAACACCGATATTTTATCAATTGTTGGTATTAAGGTTTCATTGTTGAAAAATAAAGTATCTTGGTATATAATGAAATGTTTAGTTTCTACCCAGAAACACCGATATTTTATCAATTGTTGGTATTAAGGTTTCATTGTTGAAAAATAAAGTATCTTGGTATATAATGAAATGTTTAGTTTCTACCCAGAAACACCGATATTTTATCAATTGTTGGTATTAAGGTTTCATTGTTGAAAAATAAAGTATCTTGGTATATTCTGAAGTGTTGATTGTTGAAATAAAGTATATGTTACTTGTGATTCATATAGCTGTTTATCAATTGCTGATATTTTATTGTTGATATTAAGGTTTCATTGTTGAAATAAAGTATCTGTTACTTGTTGATATTAAGGTTTGATTGTTGAAATAAAGTATCTGTTACTTGTGATTCATATATGTAGATGATAGAAAAATAAGTATTTGTTTTACATTTGTAGATGAAACACTAGTTTAAGACAAGTTTTGTGTGCTGCGATTTGTATTTAAGATAGGCGTTCAATTCGCTGTATGATATAGAGGTTATTTGTTGTACAATGTATCATATTCGTAGATATGCACATGAATGATGCGAAAACATAATTTAACATATATGTTAGTTAACATTTTGTGTCATGTTTAAATAGAAGCCAATGTATATACATAAGTAATATGATTTCCTGTATCAGTTATGCAATTTTGGCATACTAAGTATAAAATGATCTGAAACATAATATTTTGAATTTATAATGTATTTTCTTTCTGTTTGCAGTGAATGCGGAACGTATGTAGCTGTTTTTGCTGAATTTCTGAGCGACGAAATGAAGGTCCCATCGATTTCTTTTCGAAGTGACTATCTTCGCTCAAGATATGCAACACTGTTATGGAAATATGGTACCGACAAAGCCAAGGCGGGATACGTTAGCAAGAATGATGATCCTACAAGGCTAAATGGTGTCTTCATTCCATTGACAGATGATGAACTGATAA